TAGTGTCCACCCCAAGTTCAAAGTCAAAGCAACTAAAAGTCAGTGGCCGGCACTGATTAAGAAAAACAGTCACTAACTTAAGTAAGGTACGGCCTTGGATGAGTTGGCCACGACCCAAAAAAGATGAGCTTCTTGTTTATGCCAGCCTCGCGATTATCGCGTTTACTGGGCTCTTATACTGCTGATGGCCTTCGTTCTGAAGCGGGAATTTCCCCTTCACTTTGGGTGTCATTATCGGTTGGGTTCGATAGAAGTGGACTGCTTTGCTTCCTACGTGTGTGTATCCCCCCCGGGATCCATTCTTCTCCTCCACCAGATGAGATCCACGCATGGTGACCGAGCAAAGCTGCGCTTCAAGGCTCTCTCCCTCTTCCATCAGTCAGCTTCGAAGATACAAATACTAATGAGTAGTCGGCTTTGCCGGTTCCTTCCTGTCGCCGAGAGTGATCTTCACGATTTCCGATGATGCTTCCTCAAGCTTAAGGCTGAATCTGACTCTCATCCACTCGCATCTTTCTTTCCCGACACACCAGGGATGTAAGAAGCGTGAGGCTTGGAGAAATATGATTTTCCTTGTTTCCTAGAATCCATACAAGTTCATGCGCGCATCTCCCACTGGACGAGAGCGGGTTATTGCCTTCGTAGTGCGACCCGAGATGTGATCTGTTTCCTGTCTGTCTGCCACTCCCGATCTTGGGTGGCCCTATTACCGTTGTACAGGTGTGAGAGAGAGCAGCGGTTTTTGCCTCCCGAGACTCATGGTGGTGAAACCTGGAGCGTGATGCTCAGGAATTGGCTGCCATATATACAGCTTGAAACACGAGCCCTGCCAGCACCCAATGTCCAGAGGGTCGTTCGGTTTCGGAATGACTCGTCACATTAGAAGCCACGATCTCCTGTCTTCCGGACTCTGTACCTGGCTGGGAATCGGATAATTCTGAAGACCACTGGCGGAGGAGGGCTACCGGAACAGCATCAGCATCCCGAACGAACATGACTAGTGTAGGTACAGTCGTTGGGTTACTGGGATCAGGAAAGTCCGAATCGAGAATAAAAGTTCATCACCAGTAGATGGATGAATCGTGAGTGGGTGGAGCCCGCGCCCCTCCCTGTGTGTGTGTTCCTTTTTCCCCCGACCCGCACACGGAACCAGCAAGAGATTCTCTCATCTCTCCCATTGACTGACTGGCTCATGGGCCGCAAAGCAAGAAAGGAAAAGAGGCAGTCAAGGACCAGGACCAGGCGGTCTCCAGGACGACCAACTCCCAGCAATCATTGGCGGTTAAGACTGCCAGCTCATCAATCCCCTCCGTCCCCTCCGTCAATTCTGACTACAGCCTTCACGGCTGATTGGTAGCCTCTTTTCATCTTCTTTTTTCTCCATTGCAACGATCATCCTGCTGGAGTAGGACAGGTGACTGTCAGGACCAGGTGTTGCTTACGGCCACTTGCAACGTTGGATGTGCCCGTACTTTTTTTCCCAGTAGTGGATGGGATGGGATGGGAAAGTTGGGTCCGACGGCGGATCCCGTCCCGTCCCTTTCCTTTCTTTCCCTTTTTTTGTCTTTCCCAGCCACCTTTTTGACCAGCCACCCTCGGATTTAAGTGTTAGGTTGGATAGATTTGCTGGGATAGTCCATGCTCCCCCGGTCAGCGTGGTCTTATTTGCCCTTTCAAGTTTGTGACTGCCGGGGTGTGAAATGAAAAACTTAAATATCTGATGATGGAATTGTCGGGTCGAAGTACTTGATTGGTCTTGATGTCCAATGCATGGGGTGTGGCGGGGCTGGGCTCACGATGTTTGATCATTAAAAGATGAGTTCTATCAACAGCCAGCCATACTAACTAGTAAACTGCAGAGAAAAAAAAATATGAATATTAATAGTTCAATCCTATGAGATTTCTTGATTTATTTATTGCGTTGGATTTTCATTCATTTCTTGTCGAAGGGACTTGCCGATTTTCTTCTTTTGGTTGAGCAGATTTGCCAGATATAGAACAAACCACTCTAAAGTACTATACTAAGCATGTGGAAGATGCGTAGAGTTTCCACATTTGCAGCAGCAATAGTAGATAAGATTCACCGATCATCACAATCTGGTCCCCTCTGTATCTATTCATAGCCCAGCCTACCAGATACTTTATTCACTTTCTGTACCAGGTCTGTACATGAATGACATGCATTGCAGCCATCCATACTAGCCCGTGAGACACTCCAAGCTGCCAAGTACATCAGCAATCCAGCCGAGGGAGCTACTATGACCAGTCCTCGACCATAATCTCGGTTTCACAGAAAAAGAGACTTAGCACGCTTCTTCAGTCACCTGTCTCGCTCTGTGCTTCTGGATTCATTCTAGGGAGTAATCTCCGATCGGAGGAAAGCGAAAGGTAACGGGAATACTGAGTACATCTGACACAACAGATAAAATGCTTCTGAATGATATGATCTATTCAAGAAAACGATTGAAAATAATAATATAGACAAGTCCAGATATCCACAGGGTAAACTCCGAAACTAAAATGCCAGGTCTCAAGAAAATCACACAAACCAATTGCTTTTCTCTTTGCTTATTAGTCAGTCAGTTCAGTCATCCTCGTGCTTGCGCTTGAACTTCAGTCCCTTCGGTTGGCTGCCGTAGTTTCGGCGTCCTTGCTGCTGCTGCTTCTTATCCCGACTCAGGCTGGAGCCCAGCTGAATGTCGATGCGCGGCGGCGTCGAGAATCCGAATCCCTTGGCAATCTTGACCAGGTCAAGCTTGTGCACGTCGAAGACGGACCGGAGCGAGTGGGAGGCATACGCCTGGAGGTAGGCTCTGTAACCTTCCTTGGCGGACTAAGCGGGGTGTCAGTATGGGATCGATATCGTAGATAGGAGTCCAAAAGAGTCTGTAAACGCACCTTGTTCAGATAGTAGTTCTGACCAATCAACTTCTCGAGCTGAGATTGAACGTTGACAATCTTGTTGGCCGGGAAGTCGAATTCCACCACGGGAACACGAGCCTCCTTGAGGTGCTTCAGGAAACCAACCTCGGAAGGCTGCAAGAACATCAAACTGCGTCCCTTTCCGTTGACACCACGAGCCGTACGACCGACACGGTGGACGTAATCCCTGGTGTCATCCGGGGGGTCGAACTGGATAATCCAGTCCACAGCCGGAATCTATGATTGTTAGATTGTGCTCCGAGTTATTTGTAAAATGGGCAGGTACTCACATCCAGACCTCTGGCAGCAACGTCAGTGCAGATCAGGGTTCCTTGCTTGGCATTGCAGAACTCAAAGAATGTGTTGGTCCGCTTCTGCTGCTTCTGCTTGCCGTGGAGTTCAAGCACCGGCAGGTCGATGTAGTTGAGCAGCTCAGCATGGTACTTCACACAGTTACAGCTGGAGAAGAAGACAATGATCTTCTTCTTAAGGTTGCGCTTGAGGAAGGAGAAAAGAAGCAGGAAGCGCTTGTCAGCCTCACAGATGACATAACCCTGTTCCAGACCCTCGACTGTGCTGTGCTCCTTGCGGTGGTCGACGTTGATGTATAAGGGGCCAGGGCGCAGCGATATGCGCGCCAAATCCTCGACTTTCGTGGTCTGAGTGGCAGAGAACAGCATGGTCTGTCTCTCTTCGGAGGGCAGGATCTTGACAATCTGACGCATTTCGTCCTCGAAACCGACTTCCAGAATACGGTCCGCCTCGTCTGCATAGACGTTAGAGTACATTCTCCTGTTGTGTTCGTAATCAGGCCACACTTACCGATAACGAGAGTCTTCAGGTTCTTGAACACAAAGCCGGGGGTGTTCTGCAGATGATCAAGCAAGCGTCCAGGAGTGGCAATGAGCAAGTTGACACCCTTGGTGAGCTTCTCCGCCTCAGCTCGACGGTTGGCACCTCCAATAACGATACCATATGTTTGCGAGTGGTGCGCCATCAACTCTCTGGCCACACCGAATATTTGCAGCGCCAACTCTCTGGTGGGAGAAACGACAAGAACACCAGTACCTAGAAGTAGACAATCAGCACATGTTCAGTCGAGCGAACACCTAGTAGAGATGCCAGGAACCCACCATTGCGAGGCTTGAACCGCAGAGCGCTCAACATCTCCACAGCAGGAATCAAAAAGGACAAAGTCTTTCCGGAACCCGTCTTCGCAGCACCGAGAACATCACGACCAGCAAGTAGCGGGGGGATAGTACGTTGCTGGATCTCGGTCATAGTCTCGAAGCCCATATCCTGAATACCCTTCATCGTCTTCTCAGAGAGGTTCAATTCCGTAAATTTCTTAGGTTCGCTATCCGTCTGGGGCAGACGCACAGCGTCCAGAGAAGGAAGATCTGCTCCATTCTCAGCCTCCTTGCCCTCCTCATTATCTTCATCTTCGGGTTCCGCCTGACGGACTTCTTCCTCGCTGTCATTCTCATCCTCGTTGCTGGAGTCGTCAATCTTGCGCTTCTTGGGCTTTTCTTCCTTCTCGGCCTCCTTGGCGGCCTTCTTCTTCGACTTCTTTTCCGTAGCTGACTCCCTCACTTCGGTCGTCTCTCCATTGTCGACAGCGGGCTTCGGAGAAGCATCGTCGGCTTCGGTCGCACCGCGCGCACCGTGCTTTCTCTTGCGCTTCTTGTTGATAGATTTCGCGGTATCCACAGGAATCGGCATCTTGACTGAGTACCTTCCGTAGACAGGTTCCCTTTGCGAACGAAAAAATTTCGACGTTGGGGTTGAGTCTGGAACGTGAAGCTGTACACGGCCCTTTTTTTTCTTCCTCTTTTTTTTTGGTCCGATTCTGCCAAAGTCCGCGTCACGTGCTGATAAGGGGCGATAATTGGTTGTGGCAAATCCGTGCGTCGGTGCCTGAGGCGGTAACAGACATAGATATGTTACTCCGTATTCTACAGTGACGGCTAAATACTGCATCCGGTATAGCGTGCCTGATCGGGGAAAGCGCATCACTGCCGCTTGGCATCGTGGTGCTTGGTCTATACAGTATAGAGAGTTACCTCGCCCACCTGCCTCTCCTCTTGCTTTCCTATTATTCTTTGACGCCGTGTCGACTCAGACTGGCCTAAGCTATTGTTTCCCATTGGGCCAGTCTCTCCGTGTCCTGCACTTCGCCACCCCCTTTCGCATAGGGTCGACTATACTGAGCTTGACCAATCAGACGTCTCGGATTGGGACACTTCATTGCAGATGCTTGTCCTTGCAAGATATTCATTCCGGGGTCACTGACTGTAGGGCGGGTATAAAACAAAGAGACCAATTTGAGAAGTACAGGTCAACCATCGGACCCATCCAGAGGAATGCTTTAGGTCAGCAACAATATACACTTGTGCTTCTGATGCAAGTAATCGAGACAAGCCTGATCTGCCGACGTGTTTATGCTGACATCACATAGCAAGCCTCTCTCCCGGCACACATGCTCATAGCAACGTCCTATCTCGACCAGATCCTCTTCAACAGCACCCATATCACAATATGACTAGTACGTCGTCTGAAATCGAGATAGCCGCCCAACACCTTGCCAAGGCGAAACGAATCGTCATCCTGACAGGCGCGGGCATTTCCACCGCCGCCGGAATCCCCGACTTTCGCTCCCCCACCAGTGGTCTCTACGCGAAATTGGCACCCCTCAAGCTGCCCTTTCCGGAGGCGATTTTCCATATCAGCTATTTCACCCATACTCCGGAGCCATTCTACGCCATCGCAAAGGCTCGCCATCCCCGCTGCCTCAAACCGACCAGATCCCACGCATTCCTCGGTCTGCTCGCGAGGAAAGGCCTGCTCCATTTCCTGTTTACCCAGAACACCGACGGTCTCGAAGAAAATGCCTTCGTCCCCGCAGACAAGATGCTTGCGGTGCATGGGAACTGGAAGACGCAGCGTTGTCACAAATGCAACACGCCGTACCCGGACGAGCTGATGAAGAAGGCCATCGCCAAGCGAGAAGTACCGTACTGTCTTGAGGCGAGGTGCAAGGGAGCAGTGAAGCCGGATGTGGTCTTCTTCGGCCAGTCGCTTCCCGCTGCATTTGATGAAAAAGAGAAATTGGTAGCCGAGGCGGATCTGGTGATTGTTATGGGCACAAGCTTGAAGGTTGCCCCGTGCTCGCGGCTACCGCGGTTGGCGAGGGAGGGAGTTCCACGAATCCTCATCAACATGGAGAGTGCGGGGGACTTTGGTACACGACCAGAGGATGTTCAAATCCTTGGATCGTGTGATGATGGGTTGGAAAAGTTAGCCGATCTGCTAGGCTGGTCGGAGGAACTGGACAGTCTCTGGGCCGCGGCTACGAAAGAAAAGCCGACCGATGACGAGGAAGAGATCAGCCTAGACGAGTGTATTAATCGATTGGTCCAGAAGAACCAAGGAAAGCAGGTGTCCGACGGACATAAGCGCATGCTAGAGACACACTTGCAGTCAAAATTTGCCCATGTGCTTCGGTCGAGTTAGACCAGAACGAATGCAGCAAGATACGCTTATTGACAACCCAGGGAACATAAACTCTCTGGTGTGAATCTCTGAGACCCCATCCGATAGAAAGAATGTACACTCTAACATGGGATCATCTAGTCTATCTTTTCATAGAATCCTTGCTGCACGATTGTATAAAATTCTTTCAGTTTCTAGCCGGAGATTTATACTGGTCGGTGATTCCTTATTGGGCAATTCGTCACGAGTGGCACATTTTTGACTTGTAGGAGTACTGGAAGCACTCATCCATATCATAATGCACTTGACAGTCTGCAGCGCTGTTCATATCGGTGATGACGTCTAGGGAAACATCATCCCAGTCCGCTTCGGCCTGGTCGAGATGTGAACGGACGAAGCGTTAAAGACGTCTTTGAGTAGAAGTAAGGAATCGACATTCCTGAGACGCTCGCCAGTGATACATCCAAGGCAACTAGCTCCAAGAATCCATACGTAGCTCACCTCTTGTGTCCAGTTGTTTTCAAACTGGGAAGTCTCTCCAACATCATCTGAAGCCATACGGTGATACAGGCAATAGGGGGACAGCACCACGGTCGTTTGTCGATATACATGGTGGAGAAGTGATCAAACGTCCAAGGAGTCGAGCCCTGCAGCATCGGCCATGACCTGAGAAGCGAAACACCTGCCTTACCCAGAACGCAGTCACCTCCCGAGAGATTTCCAGGTGTAGGCGAAATTGGCCATGCTCGTCAGAGTAAACAGATGCTTAGGCCCCAGGACCTTTTCGCTAGCCTTCATCACCTCCAACTCTACCCTTTCAGCTTCCTGCCATCGTTTTTGGTCCTAGAAGTTGAATCGAAGGTGCCGGTGCGCGTCAGATTACCTATCTGATATCTCTGCCTGCAGACTCTCCCGTTCCTTCCACTCTTCCTAGGACCGGTAGCTTGCTGTTGAGGTTTTCTATACTCGTCAAAGTGTCGGAATTCTCGGGCTCAAGTACTCGTTATGAGATCTTTGGCATCTGTATCTGTAGCTCTTCTGCTTTCTTCCATCGTTTAGTCTGCCTAGAATGTTTACACGCTTTTGTATCTCAAGACCACGCACAATCATGGTCTTTCCGCCGTCACCGACAATTACTCCGTTAACGTTCTCTCCATCGATATGTCGGACTAACTGTGTCCATTCAGGACCTTGCTAATACTATTGAATGATTTACAATAGTCATTTCTCATAAGTTTTGGGTGGATCTTGACCTCTTAGACAATATAGGGAAATTTCGCCCGAAATCCCGAGACCCGAACCCGAACAGCTCGGCCTTGGAGGTTCATGTCATTGTTTCATGCGCGGTTCACAATTATCGTCTGTAAAAGGCAGGAGGTACAGTTCCATACTATACAGCCTCCAGCATCTATTCAAATTCATATCACCTGACTAGAGGAGTACAGGTGAGGCAGCATACTCTGTGTTTCTAGAACAACACAATCAATACAGACCTACCACCTCACATAGAAAGTACTACTACTACTACTACTACTACTACTACTACTACTACTACTACTACTACTACTACTACTACTACTACTACTACTACTACTACTACTACTAC